TTGGCACTATGTACCAACGCTGGCCAGGCATTAATCTATCTGTGACACTGTTGCTTGTGTTGGACTTGGAAATGTTTTGTTAAAAAGCAACAAAGTGGTTGTTGGTTAAATGACTGAATGCAGTAACAGTGAGAGGCACATCTATTCTCTTCATGTATGTCCAGATATGTGCTTCTTGTGTATGCAGTGTCAGTGGCGAGAGCTTGGCTATTTATAGATCCTGTCCTCAGTCACACTTTTATGGAACTAGTGACACACATTACTGTATACAGCTGATCAGCATTTCTTAAAGGAATAGTTCACCGACAAATAAACATTTGCTGAAATTGTGCTCACCCTCAGATCATCCCAGATTAGAAGGAATCTTGGATGATCTGAGGCTGAGAACATAATCAGCACATTTTCATTTTTAGGTGAACAATTCCTTTAAAGCAAAGCCCTGACATGAAAAGCCTTCCCTTTCATTGCACGCTTCATATGTTTCCAGTTTAGAAAGTAATGCATGATTTCAGCATATCGTTTCTTGTGATCTCACATGCAGTGTTTTGATTTTAGCTGTCAAATGAACTCTGTTTTTCTTGGTTTTCAGAAGATGGGTCTCCCATCGGTTATGGTGCCTCCGCTGCTGATCGTGGTCTTTGCTGGAGTTTACTATGTTTACACTGAGGTCATGCGCTTCATGTCCAAGTCCATGGTGCGGAACAAAGTGGTGGTGATCACAGATGCCGTGTCCGGAATGGGAAGTGGTAATGCTTTATTAATGCTCTATTATCAAAGTATAAAATACTTTGCATTGCAGTATAAAACTTGCCTCATTTTTTTTTTTTTAGTTCTGATACTACCACTCTCTCAAAAATAATGGTCCCAAAAGGCAGTTTTCGCAGTGACTCCATAGAAGAACTATTTTTCAGTGAACAGTTTTTAAAAGAACCATTTTTTCTTAAAGAACTTTTTGTGGTCAAAATTTTACATACACTTTGCAGTATCTGCCAAATGTTAGTTATTTTAATCATTAAACGCACTTGCTACTAATATGATCAAAAATCACTTCATTACACAGAAGACACTAATTTTTCTCCATATTTACATATCTTTAATACAACATAAACTGCATAAGATACTCTTGTTCAAAGCTTTTTATGCTTTTTTTTTGTCATAAAGTGATACTTGTAGCAATTTGATCTGTTAAACATCATATACTGTAATACTTTTTGTTACTGTTATTAATGGAAGTGTTACCAAGGCTTGTTATCAAAGCATATTGTTTGGAGTGAGGGTGTTCTGTACAGTTCAGTGTGTGATAGTGTTGGGTTTGGTGAAAGGATCTGTTCATCTGTACAGAGGACAAAGAGCAGTCAGCGGGAGTCTGAAAGAAAGCAGAGAGCATAAAGACTGATAAACCGTGAGCTGTGTGCTTTCAGACTGATGGCTTTGCGGGAGTTTCTGTGTTGTGATTGGGTCATCAGACACTTTTGTTGCCTTTACAGTAATTCGACTCTGAAAGGAACGAGCAGATAACACCTTTATCATGCTTTACTAAGGACAGACTGCATTTCATCACAGTATCTGCCCGTCCTCCATTCTTTCTGCCACTGTACTCTGCAAAAAATGAATTTACTCAGTACTTTTGTGTCGTTTCCCAGTACAAATATCTAAATCAAGATACGTTTATTTTCACAATCAAAAAGACACAAGATATTAAGTCTTGCTTTATGAAAATTGTATAAAAAAAGAAGTGAGTTTAAGCTTAAAAAAAGAAAAAAATATCTGTCAATAAGGTCATAAAAATAAACTGGTTTTCAATGGAAGCCCGTTTGCTGCACAGGATAACAAATACAAAAGGTAATCATGACTTTTTATCTTGCAGTTTGGACTTTATTTTTATAATTGCGAGTTTACTGTATATCTCGCAATTCTGAGTTTACTTCTTGCAAAAAAAGAGTGAGAATTGTGAAATAAAA